GGTATTCAAGATAATATGTTTTCAAGTGCCTAGTATAGAGTCTGTTATATCCGTTTCAATGGAAGACAGCGAATTCCAATTACTTCATATATGTTTGAATTGACCAAGACCATCAGGTTTACGTAGCGCACGAGGCCTCATCTTTGACGAACCCAGACTAACTTTAGGTTGGAGCCAGTTATTTCTAGTAAATTCATATACTAACTTACACATATGATATGTTTACAAACTAACATGTTAGCACTTAATAAAGTATCGAATGTGATAATATCATATCTTTGTTTATTCGGCTCTTTTTTAATGTTGCCGTGAGTACAATTTGCATTTAGGCGAAAGCTGTTTTTCTTCCACACTTTGTACCAAATTTGTGTGTTGCCCAAGAAAAAGAAAACTCAGCCAGTTGTCACAGAAACAGGAGGTTGCGCCATGATCGAGTCAAGCTGAATGTCACTCACGTCAAACGACAGTGGAAAAGCCGAAATGAATATTTGTCTTCCGGTAAGATCGAGCTCTGAACACTTCCACAAGGCACTTTGATAAGACACGAAATGTGGGCGATTCCTTTCAACACATTTTCACTTTAACCATACAGGAAAGTTATAATAAAATCTGACAGAATAAATGTGAAAGGTGGAAAAGCTAAATTTAAACTTAAACTACTTTAGACACAAATGTTAGAAACAATTTAGCCTCAGGCATTTTGATCAGTTTCACAATGGCTCTAATAAGACTGGCATTGTTTGGAAGGGAGTGATTCTGCACTGCTGCAGACAAAAGTCTGATGCTAGCAACAGCTGAGCCTGTGGCGTCTGCTCGTGAGTAAAGGTGAGCAAAACATGGTTTGCTTTCAAATGCCTACAGACAGATGCCGTAGAAATCTGGCCCTGAGGCCGGAATGCAGGATAGAAACTGGGCTTCTGGCGAGTGGACGAACTGGACGAAGACTGAGGAGCAGTTGCGAAAGGTGACAGTGAATAATGGCCGGTTAAGATTGCCAGTGTTAGGGTGGGAGACAAAGAAAAATAGGAATAGGGCTAAGTGCCAGAAAAAAAAAACAATAACGGAACAAGAGTTGAGAGGGAAAAGTAAAATCGAAAATAC